TTTTTCCTGGCTCTTCAGACACACTACACTGTAATTGACTGAGTTTTGTCAGGCTTAATGAGAAATACATGTATTTGGCTTGAGATTTTGAGGCACAAACTGAGAGCAGTAAGGTCCCTGCCTGATGAGATAGTTCATCTGGCATGACCCAACTCAGTGGATAGGTAGTTAATCTTATGATCACTAAGGCATGATTTGATAGTAGGGAGGGAGGTAGGCTGTACAAGTACAAAAAAAATTTATAAGAAGACTTTTTGTTATATCTTTGATCTCCTGTTCTGAAGCACAAAGCAACAGAACCTCAAGAGTGCTCACCGGTACCTGACAAGACTACTTATTCCAGACTATAACTCATGTCAAATGGTCTGGCTTTACACACATGAGCTTTCTCTATGTTGTCTATGTGATTATTTGAGCATTGAGCTGTATAGGTCATGTATAAAAGATTTTTATTATTTGTTATTTATTTTGGGTTTCTATCTCAGGGTCTTGTTAGAACTAGAATACATAAACATCTTATGGTGTTTGCTGCAGCAGCACCAGTGATGGCTTTGGTGACTTACTTTGGTCTTAGTCAGGTAATAATGTAATAATCATGATGCTATTTTATCATTTTATGGCAAAGTTTGAAGTAGATATAAATTCCATTGACTCTTTGACCCATAAGAGCGATTGGCATTTAATCCTCCTTACAATATCACCCCAAATCACATGTACGGGTGACAAGAATAAAGGAAGAGATGAAAACTTTAAGAAGCTCTAGTCTAAGATTGTTTAATTATCCTTTTTTGTGAGCACCTTAGGATGTGTATATAGTTTGGGGAATATAGATCAATCTATTGCCATTTATTTGTGATGGTTTTTCTTATCGTTTACTCCAAACAGAGCAGTAAAGAAGTACTATCCAGTGTGAAGGGGACTGGAGTAGCCACGCTGTTTTCAGCAGGGACGTTTCTTTATGTTTCCACAGTTCATGTCCTACCAGAACTTATGAGTATGAATACGCATTGTGACAGTAGTTCCGACCAAGGCCAGTCTGACAAAATGCAAAGGACTGATCTTTTCTTGATGGTGTTTGGAATTGTGTCACCTCTTTTAATTTCCCAAATACATAGCCATCATTAACGCCTCTGATATTGTTACTGGATTTGCATTGTCTTTTTTCTTGACCTGCGGCATGGTCACACAGTAACCATGTGAAAATATACAAAAAATGAAACCCTAAGTGTGAGCCTTTTGCTTTACATGTACACTGCAAATGCATGGTTGTTCAGGTAGGGGTTTCTGGACTGGCCTTTCACATATGCAGTGAAGTCATCATAGGTTCATATTACCATCCTTTATGGATAATGCCTTATGTGTAAAATCGTGTAAAATTTATCCAATACTTATGTTTGTATGAAGAAGTTTTGTACAAAATATGGAATTCTTGAAAGTATATGGAATTCTGCCACTAACAATGATTTTAAGACCCCTAAACAGATCAAGTTTTGAAATGCAAAAATTCTGGAGTTTACTTTCGACCTATAGCAATTGCTAACTACATGTTGGAGACTATATTAAGAGATCTTACCTTGGCTAAAATGTCGGGTTACTTCATAGCTAGAAAGGTCTGAGAAGTTTCAATTCTGTTGCACATGCACAGCAATTCCTACTCAGTTCAAATGAAGTGATTTATAACAGTAATAGGACCGAGTGGAGTCCAATTCCATCTGTAGTCATACAGTACCAGTGATTGACAAAATTGGATGACTGCTAAGTGAGAGTCCAATTTGTTAGTCACTCGTATGATTACAGACAGAATTGGACGACAAGAAGTCTTGTTACCAAGTAATCATAAACATTACAATTTCCAAAAACAACAAATACATTTTGGTCAAATATCTCTGGTAGAGACTATGTCTAAAGTGAAAAAAAATTTCTCCATTTTAGAAATTCCTCAATTCATTTTAGGATTACTGGTTGTTCCTATGGTTATTGTGATTAATTCTGTAATTAGTGGACTTGGCTGAGTGGATGATGGCTGCTTCAAATGTCCGATTACAGGTGTCCGAAGTTGTTTAAAGAAGACAGCTTAAACGGTTGTTTAAGCTATCTTCGGTGCAGGCTGGTGCACAAATGCGTATTTTGTATCACAGAAATATAAAACACTTCTAATACAAACGCTTTATCAAGGAGAGGAAATCAGTTGACACTGTTTGGAAAAGTCATCTTCAAACATATTTCACAAACCCGTAAACAGAAAATTGTCTGCCTTGAAATACAAATTTAGGTTGCACAATATAATTTAGTACCATTTAACTTATATTTGCGAGCACAAAACGTGAGTGCAAACAAAAATAGCACTTCCTGGGGAGTAAGGTTATGCTGAGAAGCATTAGTTTCCTCAGATAAAGGTCCGGTCATTGTTTTACCACCTAGGAGGGATGGGTGTTGTGGAGGATTTTTGTTGTGTTATGATAAAATATTATTACTATGATCTCCGTTCACTGAGAGTTTATTGACAGTCAATTCGCTCTTTATGCTCTGCTGTTGTCGATTTACCCTCCCTCCGTCTGTTACCTTCCCCCCTTAAAACCATATGACCCCCCCCCATTCTCCCCCTTTCCCCCCCCCCCCCCATACCAGGGGATAGTTAATGAATGGTCCTTTATCTGATGAATGCTTCTAAGCGTAACCTCATTAGAAGTCATGGATGATATCATCATGAAGTAGCTCTTCCTCACTAGTCACGTTTTTACCTCCAACCACACTTGTTTACATACAATACGATACAGTTTATCATGTTGTTTCATCACTCTTTATAACATTCATGCTTCGCGAAGGACAAAAAGAGTCGCGCACGACTGCGCACGACTCGATCTACAGGGATTGTGAAAAATTGACGTAAATCTTAGCCTGCGTGCAGACCCTCATTGTTAACCTTTCAAGCGTTAAGGCAAGCGAGCGAGAGGACTGCAAAGAATCTACGTCTAGCACTGACTTATTTGTATAATTGGTGCTAGACCCCCGGCAAACCTCTCCCCGACTCGTCTCAAATCTATTATGCAGCGCTAATAAAATGAAGGCCTTGTGAAATGCTACTTACTTCTCGTTATTCATCTCAAATAAAAAAAAGTAGTGAAATAAAATTGTATAGCGAAGCTTCTGTTTGAAGTTAGTTCGACTTGTGCTTCTCGTTCTACTAAGAGTGAGACAAACTACAGGTGGTATAGATTTTCTTTTCATGGCCGACTGGTGGAAAAACAGGCTCGGGTCTCGTGCAAAGCTTAATCTCCCCATTAATATTAACAGCTGGAGAGTCAAAGGATCTTGCCGTGAAAAGAAAATTGGAGTTTAAGTTTTGAAATCGATTCATATATCTTTTGGTTTCCTGACAAGAGCTAGGGGAAAAAAATGCATGGATTCACCTTCAGGGTCCTTCTTTCGATTTTGGGGTTTTGTTAAAGTTTTCTCCGCATTTTCAGGTCCTTTAGGTTTCAACCACATTTTCAGCATCTCGATTTTCAAATTCTGTGAACTTTCGATAATTTCTATGAATGCGGTATACATTCTTTGTTTTTCCTCGTTGGTTTTATTTTGGTGCGGATTTAAACGTGCACAAAGAGATCGTGGGACAAGACAACAACGACATCTTCTCAAAGAGCTTTACTCCATAGAGGTTGAAAAGATTCCAATGATCATTGATCGCTTTTTAAAGCTATACAGAGGAAGTCCACGTGGTGAGGAGGAAATCTACGCAAAGGACAGTGCGAGTTGTTGGGTGGAAAAGCGCTGTGCAGTGTGTTTAAAACTTGTTCTAAAATCAATGAAGGCTGTTCATCACATGACGCTGTATTGGAACGAGTATATCTCGTTTGCTATTGTATCACACTACTGTTTTAGACAAGGTATTTATACCACTTAAATTTAGGAAAGAATGAGTAGAACATAAATCATATTTTCTGTAAAGTACACGAGCCATCCTAACCTCATTTGTCAACTGCTTTCCAGGCATCATCTGTAAAAAGCCTCTTCGATTTTTCAAATTTGAACAATTTCAGCAAAAACTGTAGCTCCCAAAATATATCTCTCACCTTGCCTAAAAAAAATTAAATTCAAAGTATCACAACTTTGCTTATTCCTGCCCGTAGGTCCAGCCAAGCCCTTACGGTCATTAGCCCCCGCAATAGCCGTCAACAATGGCATATAGATATAGGCGTTTAGTGTTAACTTGTAAAACTCCCTTAGGAAGTTTACGACAGTTAGACGAAACGCGTCAGAGAATAAAGAAGTTTTACAACTACTGTTTGCAGAGCGCTGCTCTCTTGTTCAGTTTTAAATTTTTTTAAAAATTGTTCAAAAAATCATTGAAAAAAAAAATTAATAACCGTTTGAGTCGGAGCTATCCCTGTCAGCGGTGAAATACAGGAATGGCTCCAGTCTCTGGTCGTCCTCCTGAACTGACTAAATGAGTTTAGTTAGCGGAGCTAGTCAGCAGATGACTTTTTCATCGCCGAAATATCGCTGAATGACCTCGCTGAGCAAGAAAGGCTGCCTTCCCTTCACTACGTAAGTAACCATTTCTTGTTTGACACATCGGTGTTTTCACTCGCATTGATATTTCATTGTTCCGCTTCGAGACACGCGGTTAACAATACTCACGAGCAAGAACTTAAGATACAACTTATTAACTTTTACTCTTTTACTATTTTTATCTTCCAATTACAGGTCGGAGCCATTCCTGTATTTAGTCGGTAGTTTCACAAGCAAATAAAACTTCTTTGGGACGAAGGTTATGCTGAGAAGCATTAGTTTAGCTTAAAGCCATGTGATCTTTCCCCCGCGAATTCTCCGCTCCATACCCCTCCTTCCCAGGCGATGAATAATGAATGGTCCTTCATCTGATGAAACTAATGCTTTCAAGCGTAACCTTGTGACTCAGCATTATGATTATAAAGGCCTCTTGAAACCCCTTGTAGTTACCATCAGAGTACAGTTCAACCTGATCGTGAAATCATTCTCCGTACCGTCTCCGTCTGTCATCAATCATGATAAACAGTGCGCAAGCAGCTAAGGGTTACCAGCAAGCTTCAGCCACGATGCAAAGATCTTGGGGCAGAAAGTTAATTGAAAATGTTCAACCACGTCTTGGAAATGTGATCTTGGATTTAGGATGTGGCACTGGAGAACTGTCTGCCCATTTGGCGGAGCTCGTGGGAAGAGATGGAAAGGTTGTAGCCGTGGACCCTGACACTGCTCGAGTTAAATTGGCCCAAAAAACACACGGAGGAATCAGTAATCTTGCCATTCAAGAAGGAAGTGCCTCAAACTTCCCAGGAATGGGATCACAGTGTTACGACGTTGTCTTTTCCAACTTTGTGCTTCACTGGATTCAGGACAAACATGAGGCCTTCAAGAACTCGTTTCAGAGCCTTAAACCAGGCGGGAAAATTCTGTTGTCGTACGAAGATTCATTGGTTAGCATGTTTGAGCGCTTTTTTAAAGAACTTGTCCCAGAAAACTGTAACACTATATTAAGCAAGTGGCACTTCATAGAGAAAGCAAAGATAGAGGAGATGTGTGCAGCTGTCGGCTTTGATATTGTGAAGAGTTACGACGTGAAAAGTGATGCCTTTGTATTTGATAACGAAGAAGAAATGATTTCGTTTTTCTGGGCAGATTCACATGGCTTGTTTGATCGCAAGCTAATAAGAAAAGACAGGCTGGCAAGTTTCTGCACTCGGTACACAAGTGGAGAAAATTCTTCACCATTTAAGTTGTTTCCTGGTGAAGGTGATCACTATTGTGTGTTGGTTGCGGCAAAACCGGTATAAAATATCTCTGCTTCCTCCTTTGAAGACTGTTGAATTAGCCAATTTTTCCAGTGTTCATGTCACGGAATTTTATGCGAACGTATTTTCAGTATATTCTTGTTCTCTTCAAATTAGGAAATCGTTAGAGTTCTTTTTATAGAGCATGTAGCTGGTTATCCTCGAAGATCATAGCAAAAAATCATCGAAACTCGTTTTCGTGTTGCACGGATTGGGCAGATATAAAGGATAAGTGTTAATCTTATTGGAATGTTGTGAAGAGTCACTTTCCAAGAATGTAAACAAGAAATGCTAATAATTCAGTTATCTTAAATTTCCATAATAATGATAACGAGCAATTATCACGCAATTACTTGATGTTAATATTAAGACAAAACGAGTTTGTGCCACGCTTGACCACACTAGACAAGAAAGAAGCACAGTGTTCAGATTCAAGTACAAATCAGAGAGAACGATGAACAATGTGTAAGCGTTTAGTTAACCACCTCCCCCGCACTCCCGATTCAGTACACAGCACAAGGTGTTTATCTTCATGAAAGCTGGTTTATGTGCTGCATATAAATTGGAAACTGATGCCTCTTAGCATATGCTTCTCATCATGGTATTGCTTTTTAATTGATAATAACTTCCTGAAGCTGTAGAATATTTTATCAGTGTCGTTCATCTTAGTATTGTAGTCAAATAAATAGTTTATGTCAGTTAACTGATGTCGACATGTCGCTACAAGATTATACGCACCACTCAATCAGGAGTAACAGATTCGGTTTTATATAGTCAGTCATAAGCGGGTCTTAATAAAGTTATACTTAACAAATAGAGAAGCTTTGACTGTGCTTTGTTCTGTTGTAAAGCACGCAGGAAGCGGTTAGAGCACGAAAGAGGTGTAGGGAGACTGAGTTCTTGAGTGCTCTAACCGCTTCCTAAGTGCTTTTCAACAGAACAGAGCACAGTCAAGGCTTCTCTATTTGTTTTATAATAAAGAATCCATTAAATTCCCTGCGCATTACTTTCAATTTTCAAAATAAATTTTAAATCCAAAGCGAACCACAGTGTCGTCAGCATGCTTTCTACTCTCATAAAGCACGCTACAATAGGCCAATCATAATTTTTGTTATAATAGTTCAAATAATCTGATTGGCTGTACTGGACTAAAGCTGTCAAAAATGTCAAACCATCAAAGTTCATTCTGCAGGAATTGTTTACAAACTTAAATAGTTTGGTAGGTCTAATCTAACACTTTTGCTTTTTTAATCTCTATTACAGAATGTGGAGGTGAAATGTTCAGTGAAATCCGGCCGAATTGTGGCTCACAAAAACACGCAAGTTTTTTCACATGACAACTAGTAAACAAACTGCTCAAGGCGAGTTTTACGAAAGAACGACAGCCGAATTCACCGGAACATGAAGATTGCTCGTGATGACAGAGCCGTAAAACTCGGTTGCAGTGACTGATGTGGACTTCACCACTCAACGCATCGGAAAGGACATCAGAGCAAGCCCTTAGTTGTTCACTCGAAGGGCGGTCGATGTAATTTCTGAGGCATGCTTCACTGGCGATCTCCGAGCTAGCCACGTTGGACTTCAGTAATCGCTCCGACACCGTCATGATTGGTATGAATTATAACAGTTATGCCACTTTGGCTATATTTTTTATCATTCCTGTTTTGTTCTGTTTTGTTTTTGAAATCGAACTTTATATACTATACGAGTGTTAGCTGTGTTTTATTTTTATTACCACTCGTAAGCTTGCAATCTACCTGAGCGTGAAAACCTTCAAAACTCGGACTGTCCAATTTTTTTTTTCAGGATTTTCGTCTCTGCTCTCGTTATAATAACGTCAATTACGGTGCCTGGCATGTTTATAAACCTTTGTTTGGTTGTTCTGTTGCTACTTGCCGGCTCGCTTGTTTCGAAATTTCACTTTCAATTAACGAAAAAAAGCTACAGAAAAGTCCCGGGAAAGGTCGGACATAGTCCAATTTGGGAGATGTCGTGACAGCTTTAGCTCAGCTCTATGCTCTATACTCTCATAGAGCACGCTCTTTCAACCAATGACAGCGCGCGTTATATCCGAACTTTATTAGAAATCGAGATAATATATAAATATTCAGATCAAATATAATTTGAGATATTTTCTGAAACGATTATTACCATTGGACGCTACTAGATTAATGAGTCATAATTAATTGCAGTAAGCGCTGTGGCTCAGCATGTGGTGGGATTTGGAGCACGACTCAAACAGTTGAAAAAGCCAACGTGGTTTGGTATTTTCACTCACTTACGCCCCCACAACTATGGAACGTTGTAATGTTGGCATGAAATCAAGTAACGTACAATAGACATGGCAGTGTTTACCACTTTATCTCCACAACCTCAAACTCTCCAGGAATGGGGCGGAAACTTCCTACCTGTGAACACTGACGCTTCTAAGCATATGTCACACGCCATGAACTGACTCACCGTCTCCAATTGATCAAAACATTCTGAAGCTTTCAAAACTATTTTTTTCAGTATCGGTCATCTTCACAATGGAAATACCCAAACAGTCTGAGAAGAGCCAAATCGGGTTGGTATTTTCACTCACCAGACATGTTTGTATCGATTCTTCCTGTATCTTCATTGTGATTGTTTCCTGGTGAAGGGAATCGTTATTGTGTGTTGGTTGCAGCGAAACCGGCACAAAAAGAGTACTTTTAGGCTTCTTTGGAGACTGCTACCTTGATCATTCCTTTGGTTGTTTAAATTTTTATGGAATTTTGTTTCAATGTCTCAACACATTGGAATAGGCTGAAGACTCATTCATAGAAATTTTATTTATTCTCTTTGAATCTGAGAAACTCGATGGGTTGCTGTTAAAATAGTTTTTATTTTTATATTAAAAATCTGCGAAGGTCAAATCTCTTGGGACTGTATGTGCAATTTTTAATGAGTACAACTGGAAACCCTTCATAGTAAATTATTCCAAAGCCCTCTTTCATTGTCATTCTGGCAGAGTTTGAGCATGCACAGTACTACTCAACCATCACAAAGCAGTAAACGAGTCAACATACAAGATGTAATCATCAGCGTAATATTCTACTCTTCTACTCTCGCCTCTTCCTAACTATTTGATAATTATCGGTAAAATATATTGTTTTGTAGGATTGCAGGAGAGCCAAAGAATCTTCAACTCTCCATAGTTTCAGATTTAAATTGAAAAATAACCAAATCTGTACGAGTAAAACATGTATGAACATGTTACTACCAGTTTTTCCTTTTTTTTCCCATTTAAGTACTGTAGTTACCAGAAAATCTTATTTTCCATTAAGTCACTCCCAGTTTTTCCTATCTTCATGTGCTTACTGTTCTTTTAAATATTGTCCCTTTGCCGCGTTTTGGTGAACACAATTAACTTCTCAGGAGCAACTAGACCATTCTCAAGTCTTCATGGACCAATAAGCACCTCTCCTTTTACCCGAAATTTTAAATAAGCGCCCGTTCGTTAGGGTTGTCCGATTACAGCCAACTTTCCATTTACCATTTGCGCCGTCCGATCACAGCTGTACAGAATGATTAATGAAAAATAAAGCAGCTTATGCACCAATCACATTTGATGAAATTGTAATGGTTATGATTAGACTCATAGCCTCTAAAGGAAAATGAAGATGATGTTTATAACACTCAAAAATGTGTACAATTTATGGGTTTATTTGTAGGTCTATTAAAATGGTAAAAAGACTTTAGTGACATGGGGAAAGAGAAATGGAGAGTATAATGTTGCCTACATTGGAAGAATGAGACATCATAGAAAAAAAAATATATAAATAATCTCATGCTGCCCTAGGTTGGCCATGGAATGTAAATGTATGTGTTTGTACATTAAAACATTATGAGTTAATTTATAAGAGATCATGCAAGCCAGGGGGAAAATGCTCTTTGCAAAATATTACAAATAAGGTACAGCTTTTTAACACTTTAACTCCCATTCATGAGTGATCAAGAAAGAATTTCTCCTTACAATATCAATACAATATCAAGCAGATAAGTGATAAGAATAGAGAAAAATCTTAATAAGGGGATTATTACATGTAGTTGATCTAATACCAAATTCTCCAAACTAACATCAGGAAAACTATATGGCAGACATTAAGGAGAATTACTAATGAGATCTTGGGAGTTAAAGGGTTACATGAATAAGTACAGCAAGCTTGGGAAGATGGATCTCATCTGATTAACAAACAACAAAATCAAACAAGCTTATTTATTTTCTTGACTTGAGAGGTATTGTGAAATAATTATAGGGAAAAGAGACAGAAGTAGTGATTGACTGCATGTATGGCCAATTAAATTCATTCTATGATTGTACAGAAACTTGACCTGTGGAGAGACATTCCATAATTTTCTATTGGATTCCTGTTTGCTATATGTGCTCGGAGTGCTATTTGGTTTATATTCTGTGAACTGTATCGAGCACATGATCAGGCACCAAAATAAAGTTGCATTGCAGTTGTGTGGTGAATTTCACGGAAAGCACAATACAATCGACTCTTCTGCAGTGTTTGATACAATGTTAAATGGCCTAAATTAAGGTCTTGTCAATACTTTGTTACACAATTTAGAGAACACAACAACCACTTGGGATCACTGTGAATACATGTAATAATGGTATGATATGCTTTTGAGAAAGTACAGAGAAGTAATGACACAGCATTTTGGAATCATCCATCAGTTTTATGGTGGAGAGGAGATCGACTCAGCCCTAGAAATTAATCTAATTTAAATTACAATTTGTTTGGCTTGAAGAGAATTTTGAAAACATTCTCTCTTTTGTTGTACACAATGCACAATTTCTTTAAATCAGTGTAGATGGTAGGCATAACTGTATTTTTGATACAAAGTTGTATCCTCTTACTTTGCTACAAGGCAGTACAGAAAAGGTGTAAGCCTTTTCAAGCTTGTTCAACTCTTCTTGGAGATGGCAGTAACTTTTTTTTTCAGAGCCTGAGTTACATCTTTCGTTCTTCTATGACCCTTAAACTCCCAGAAGTGATTGACATGCACTTACTTCTTTGCATGATATCCATAAATTACCAAGCAAACAGGTAATGAGAATATTCAAACTTATCAGGTAGAAGCTGTTACCTTGATTAAACACCAAATTTTCATAACTAATTTAGAAGGAAATGTCTGGCAGCCACAGTAGAGAAGAAAATTAAGAGTTTAACTCTTGACTCATCAATGCACAGCCCAGATTATGTTGAACAGATTCAGTAAGGGCTGAGCTAGAAACCAGGTTGGGTTGAAGGTAAATTTAAGCGAAGTTCAAACCATGCCAATTGGACAAAGTTTAAATTTTTTAATTGAATATACACATTTTTTAATTTTGTGTTTCTATATATTTTTTTTGTGGTGGTATTCTGATGATTGGGGATGGGGTCAGCACATTTAAGCCTGCAGGCTGTTTAAGATGAAACCAATCGTGTTATTAAAATTGGTCAACACATACATTGTAACATACTTGCCTTATTTCCTAAAAAACTTGACTACGATGATACATGTAGTATTAACAAGGTAATATGCTTCTTAGATCTAATTAAAGTTAACCTCTTGAAGTAAAGTAGTCCCCTTAATACTAAATTTGTTATTATCCTCAACATTACGAATTCTACATTTATTACAGCAGATACAATGAAATTTAATATATCAGTATATTAATTTTTACATATGATTACTTAATATTTTTGTGAAGCCATAATAATATCCTACAGTTCTAATGTTGAACTGTACTGTTGGTATTGTAAGAGAAAAACCATCAGTGGGATCCAGTTACAACTGTACCTCATTTGGGTGAAATGATTTAGTCAAATAAACTAAAATAAAATCAAGAAAAAAAAATAAGGGAAAACATAACCCAATTTGATGAGAAAAATGGTTAAAAGTTCAATATCGTAGGCAATTGTGTGTTATGTACATGAGGAAAATCCTATAGGTTATAAAAAAGTTAAGAGCCTGTCCACGAGAGCACCGGGCAGTCGTGCTACATGCCATCTCACCGATTTCAATGAAACTTTGCCAGTTTAAAGGGTCTACCCCAAAACTCAAAAAGACAAACCGGTTTCTGTTTTGGTTTTTTCCGGGGGGAGATAGACCACCCCCCGGTTTTTCTTGGTTTTCACCAAGGAAATCGCTTCAAAATAGGTAAAATAAATGAAGTTCTCACTGCGATGGTATTTAACCAATTACTCTGAGGGTTTGCACACATATTTTTCCATCCTTAGTTAATGTCCGCCGCAAGTATCAGTCAATTTGGTTGACGGCTTGTCAATTAACAGAGGCAAAGAAACGACCGTGTTTTTAGACTTTTCGATTTATCCAAATATTTGACAACTTTGAAGTCAAATATCTCCCCTTTCCAGAAAGCTACAACACTAATCTTGATTTCCCTTTATAACCCATCATTTCATCTCTGAAAATCATCAAAAAAATCTTTGGGCGTTACCGTATTTTTTTCTTGGATGCCTTTTAAAATCTGCGACTGTGACAAGTTTCTCTCAACTACACCTGTCACGCAATTCTTGCTTTAGGCGGTCACTTGACCAAATAAACCTACATTTTTTGGCTCTTTATACAAGATGATTGATCAAGAAAGGTGAAAAATGGAAACAACTTTCGAGATTTTTTGTAGGAATGGAAAATTTCACGTTTAGAGAGATGCATGTGGGCGAAAAATCGAAGAGAAAATCGTAGTGTTTCTTTCTTCAGTCGTTTATTACTTTGGAGATTTTCTAGAATCAGCAAATATGGCTTTTGTACGGCACAAAACATTCATTAGTCTATAATTTGATTGTTTATCATCATCATTTCTCATTTTAGGAGCTTTTAAAGTCACATGCTGCGTGTTGGTTGACATCACTACAAGTTCCATTGTGCTACAACTTCGGCTTTTACAGAGGAGAAATTCTGCGCTCTTCGCTTGAGAGCAAATATCAATAGTTCTATCAGACTAAAAACTGTGCTTCTATCCCGAAAATAAAATTAAAATAGAGTTGTCTCTGTCACTTACCGCCATCGAACATTTCCATGCAGAACTCCGCTAAGCTAACATCTGTTGCGTGACCCGAAGACTCTCCTTAGGAATTATTCAAGCGCGTTTTTCATGCTGTCTGCTAGATAACAATTTCAGAATAATCTGCAGATCTCTATGATTATTTGCCTGCTTCGATTGTAAAATATCTGCATATTTCTTCAAGTATTCTATTACTACATATAAATCTACATCTCTCTGGATCGAGTGTTGCCGGCGGTTAGTTGCGTAACTTGTAAAATTTATTAAAAATGAGCCAGCAGTATTTTGACCGGTAGACTTCCTGCAAATTTCCCTTGATGAAATCCCAAGACATAGTCAGTTGTTTTCGTGAGCAAAGACAATAAATATGAAAGAAAAGTGAGATGCAAATGTCGTTATTTTTTTTTTAGCTTAATAGCAGCTGTGCCCTCTCCTGCAG